AATGTACGTGTAGGTATGTATGTATGTAAATTTCTATGTATGAATGTATTTGTCGACAATAGTAACAAATATGAAGTGTAATTTCAAGTGACAGTCGGTTCTCGTCATCATCGTCATGAGCTGCAGCAGCTGCAACTGTAACTGCAATATCAGTAGCGGTGACAGTAAGTAACAACCAAAACATCATCGTCATAATCATCATCATCATCATTATGATTATTACTCATATTAGTTGCTGTGTTAGTGTTTTTATATTTTTCTATTCTACTCTCATGACGTTCATAATGCTGGTTGTTTTGGTTTTAGATAAATACATGTCGTCTACCTCAGCACAATTCAAAATTCATATGTTGGATGCATGTAGACAAACCTATTCATATTGTCAGAAACGTGCCTATCAGGCGCTTCATCAGCATGTGAATTTCATCGTCATAGTCATCATAATCACCATTTAGACTTGCAGTGCATTGGATTGCATTGCATTGTACTACTTACTATACGAGTGTTTGTACGAGTGTATTCTTCTTCTATTCTGTTCGGTTCTCTATGCAACCAATGCTTTTCTTCGTGCAATTTTCATTTAACAAAACCATAGTGACAATCGAGAAAACAATACAAATACTAACACACTCTTGCACTTGTAGATGTACAAACATACATACATCCATATGCATGTATGTATGTTGAAAAATGTTTAGATATTTGTTTTATGATTTGTTTTATACAAATTAGACAGAGATGCATTTTTTAAAGTACACAAGATTATGACTATATTTTTGTATAGAAAATCTTTAATTCCGTTTTTAAATACAAAGAATAAATACATTATATAATCTTTCATTTAAAACTTAAGGCAGCTTTAAAAGACTGGACCCATTTGTATTGTATACAATTACTCTTAACATTGGCCCTACACCCACCCTTCAATTTTACCGCCTATCTTTCTTACCTTGTAATCAACTTACATGTCACTCCATTTCTGTCCTAACTATCATAAGGGTCTGATAACTGAGAGCAAACTAAGTTTAAGTTCAAAGGTTTTTTTTTTCGAATTTAGTTGGGGTCGGTTTACGATTTCGACTAGAATTATGCAAAAAAAAAAGCACGAAAAGTATCTAACTGAGTTTGATATATTCTCAGAGCAATTCCTTCGATCACAGCTTCCTTATAGTAATACTAAAGATTTGTTGCTTACAAGTACGTTTTACTGGGTTCTTCGAAAAATAGGAAGATCTACTGCAAATTAAAAAAGCTATGGCTTAATATATTGCGATCTCGTTTAGAGTTGTCCAGGTTTCCGAAACCAGTCTCCGATTATTGATTATGCACGACTATCAGCAAACATTTCAATATCACTTTTTGCGATGACATTTAAAAATGATCAATGTCCAGGGGCATTTGAATGCCATCAACATCATTATTTAAATGAAGATCTGATCGCTTTCGAATGTCATAATTTCTGAACTAGACTTCAATTAGGTACTTGATTGCCGATTATTGATAATACGAGACTATCAATACAAATTTTAAAGTCATTATCGCTTCTAACGATGATATCTAGAGAAATTCATAATCCAAATTGCGGCATTATAATTCGATCGTAATCCTTGACCATAAATGAAAATGGAGAAAATGCATAGGCCTTAGAAAATGAAGAAAATCCATTAGCCTTAGTAAGACTAAGGCTTATGGATTGGCTTTATAAAAGTATAATTAGACCAATACATGCATCGCATACCAGACACAGAATATGTCGAGAACTTTGATATAATGTCTTGGTCAAGGATGGCTCTAAATTGGAAGTCAAAGGAGGACCTGGGGTTCTATATTGAAGACCCAGAAACTGAATTATACCATCGTTTACCTAAACAAAACAATAACGGAATGTGTAAATTGGATTACAATAAATATGGCGACCACAATTAGGGCGATGATAAAGTTATATCTAAGACCATATTGGATTGTAAGAAAACTCTAACCGAATACTCTACCAGAGGTAAACGAATACTCTACCAGAGGTATGGCTGCTTGGGGGTAGTTGGTTGAGCATATGGTCAAATATAGACCGATCCTCACAAAAGTTGGTAGAGAGATTTTGGCCCATATAAAACTTGTTTATGTTGAATTCCATCGCTGTATTCTTATTTCTGAGCAAGTAATAAGCGTTAAAGTAACTTTCTGAAAGGGACCAAATATGGGGAGTAGGTTCAATTATGGACCGATCCTCACAGAAGTTAGTAGAGAGATTTTAACTCATACAAAACTTATTTATGCCGAATTTTATCGCTGTAGTCTCTTTTCTGAACCAGTAATAAGTGTTAAAGTAAACTTCTGAGGGGGACCTTACATGGGGGGTTGGGTCAATAATGGACCGATCCTTAAAAAAGTTAGTAGAGAGATTTTTTTCAGAAAATATATATGGGGGATAGGGTCAATTAGGGACCGATCCTTATAAAGTTTGGTTAAGAGATTTATGTTCATATAAGACTTATTTATGTAGAATTTCATCGTTATACTGGTATTTTTAAATTAGTTATGACTGTTAAAACTGTTTTCCAGGGATCACTTGTATGGGGGCTATGCGAAAACGTGTGCATTTTCAATACCAAACAAACCTTATCTATAGAGAATATTTATGCAAAATTTCAGCTGTCCAGCTTCTTCCATATGGTCCCTATCGTGATTTCAACAGACGGACGACATGGTTAGATCGTCTCAGAATCTAATGAGGATCCAGAATATATACACTTTTAGGGGTCTTAGGCTAATATTTCGATGTGTTACAAACGGAATGACAAAAACAATATACCCCATCTTTTTTGATGGTGGTTATAAAAATATCGATGAGAGAAACTTATAACTACTGAATGGTTTCAAAGTTAGGGTCTCGAGATGGCCGTGTAATAACATAGTTCACAACATAATGGGTATGTCTTTCATTTCGGAAGTTCATAGGGTGTTTTATAGTTTTGATTTCGGGACACTAACTTTGGGGTAATTAAGATATTTATGAACTTAAAAACTTCTAATATGAGAATTAGGTAAAATCATAGATCGATGTGAACGAAGTTCATTTATTGAGTCAAGAGTGGTTGGACTTATTATGTAATTCAAAACCCAGTTATATAGCTGGGTATGAAATCTTTTTTCTAGATATTTAAAACAACATCATTAGCGATTTGGCAATTCAGTTTTCTACAATAGAATGTTTTTGTCAAGGTAAAGGGTATACAAGCTTCACACCATCATATATATCTTCTGAACAACTTACTTTTCATTCATAATATAGCTTTGATAGTTCTACCAAATTATTTAACTTTAATAATTATTTTATTTTCATATGAACTCAACCTTTTTGTTAATAATAAATAAAAAGCACTACGTTTTAATTACGTATTAGAAGTCTCCTCCGTACGCATATAACATACACATTTATAATTGTGGCAGTTTCGAGAAGTCTGTATACCAATGCTATGCAGTCTTAAGGGGATAGATGTAAGTTAAATTAGAAGACAGCGTCGTAGTAGAATTTTTTAGCTGAATTTCAGTAAATATTTGTAAATGCGTGGGAGTGTTCTTGTGTGTGTGAGTGTTATACTAATGAGGTCATTGCTTGACAATTGCATTTGGGCCATATATACAGTCATATTTACTGACACACTATACAACTAAAGTTAGTTAAAACAACCAACTACTTACTATTTAGTATTTGACAATACAATAACAGCAGTAGCTGAAAGACAGACATATGTATGTAAATATGTACTAGCATACAAATGTGCAATTAAATAGTACTATTGCTTAGCTATAGTAGCATCAACAGCAGTAGTAGTAGTAATATTCTATGTTTGTTTAGTTGTAATAGTACATTTTATAGTATGTCGCATTCGGTTTATGGTTTTATTTCCGTTTCCGTGTTTCTTCATCGTAACATAACAGACAATAATAAAAACTTGAAAAAAGTATAACTGCAACACATGCATTTATGAGCATTAGGGTGTATTCTTTATACTTTTAGAACTGTTTACAACTGTTACTAGTTTATAACAAATATTTTAATTTTATATATGAATAAAACACCACCCTAATATCCATATACTTATATGCTTTCTGCAGAATTTTAACGGTTGTAATAACAAAACGCATACTATTGCCGTGGCAGCCTTAAAGTATGCAATGTTCATTTAAAATGAACATGCACACAATGCCAGTCAACAAAGTCATTAGATGTTTTGTCTTTTGGGAAATTCATTCTTCTCGTTTTATTTATACATTATTTTTTTTTTGTTCCTTTTTTTAATTTTGCTTTGTATCTCCATAATTTTGCTTTTGCTTTATTATTTCTTTTTTTTGCATTTCTGTATGCTATTCTATTTTACCCTAATTTTATTTACCCATTTTTGTTTAAGCTTTTTATTTGTTTTAGTTTTAACTAGTAACACGCCTGCTCTTCTTGGGCTCTGCCAGTAGTCAGTCTGGTCTTTTAGGATTTTGTTTGGTATTTTTTCCTCCACTTTTTTTGTCATTTTTTTTTTTTTTTTTTGTATTTTGCGCCAAATGTCATTTCATTGCATTTCTATGCGCCGTATATTTTCTATTTAACGTAATTTATGTGACAATACAAGATAAATTTCCATTGGAAATTTTTATATTACATTCCTTTATATTCTCAACAATTTTTAACAAAAAAAAGTTTGTGAGTTTAATGAGCCAAACCTCGTGCATAGAATATATGCTGTTTAATTTCAGAAAAGAAGATAAAAAAAAACAAATTAGACAAAGCTGATGGTCCTTGCATTCTAGATTTGTGTGTGTATATATTGAAACAAAGAGAATATTTGGATTATTTCTAAAATGCAAACTATAAATATTTTAGCATTTTTCTCCTTTTGTTTTAATTATCTATACTGTCAACAATTTGCAAATACATACATATATAATATAAAATATCTGATAAATCATCAGCATATACATATATATTTAAAAAGCACACAACATACCTTCTTTGATCTTTGCATTTTGTATGTCATATCTTTATCTGAAAATAAAAGGAAAAATTAAAACATGATTAATACTTAGGGTTAAAGATTCATTAAAAGAAAATTTATAAACGAATTAAAAAATAAATCGATTTTTTATATCTTATATCTTATATATTGGGTTTGTGCTGACGTTTGTAACGCACAATAATATTGATCCTTAAAGTATACCTATCGGCTTAGAATCATTTTCTGAGTCGATTTAGCTATCTCCGTCTGTCTGTCTGTCAGTCCGTCCATGTAAAACTTGTAATGAAACTACGAACTACACAATTTTGAAGATAATTCAGACGTGGTCTTCTATTTTCTCAGGGACAAAGCCCATTGAAAATGGTTATGATCGGTCCATTGTTTCACCTAGCCCCCATACAACAGAACCCCCGAATAGGTCTTGTAAACCTTGTAATCAAACTACAAGTCGCAATTTTGAAGATAATTCAATGAAATTTGATACATGATCTTCTATCTCACCTAGCGCCTATACAACTGAACCCCCCGAACAGAGCAAAACTAAGTTCTATACTGGCCTTGATGACCCTAATGAATTTTCTGATGATAGGGCCTCATTCGACCCTAGACCCTAAACAAAGTCCCCTTTAAAATATGACTTAAATGTGCATGATTTTATTCAATAATAAATGGCTTAAGTATATCTGAGGCAAGGTACAATTCAACTTAAATGCTTTATTATGAACACTAAATCACATTTTATTTATATAACTGGTGTAGGGTATTATACGGTTGGCCTCAACCGACTATAATTTCCATCTTGTTTAATATATGTCATATAATTTATTAAACATTTTAAAGTTTTACAAGAAATTAAAAATTTTAAAGTTTTACAACGTATATATAGACATTTTTACAACGTATATTCAGACAGATGTAGATCGATCCAAGTTAAATTCGCTCGATCCTTTTCTATTCATTTAATTATAGGCCAAGTTTTTTTGAGATTGGGCCAATGAAAGAATGTATGAATGATTCACTTAATCAAAGAATCAGATGCTTTTAAAGTTGTGGCCATGAGTATTAAGTGCGGTGGACTTAAAAAATACATATTTCAAGTGCCGAAAGAAAATTTTAAGTCACTCAGTGTTTTTAAATAATGGAGACACACTTCACTCCAACTGATATTGTTATTATTAACACCAGTCCAAATAAAATAATATATAACTCTCATGTATGTTTGTGCTAGTACTTCAAAGTCTATTTTGGAGCTACTCAACCGCATATAGCAGAGGACAAATGTGCTTATCGGTGACAGTTAGGTCGTAATGTTGTGTGTGTTCCATTCTCTTGTCTTACTATGAAATTATGGTTATTTTTCCCGATACTCAACATTCTATCTTTAAGAACACACTCATGTAGTCGATTGGCCAGTGGATCGTACAAAGCATTTCAGTTAATACTGTTTATTTTAGTCCTACAGTTTGTATGTGGAACAAACTTCCAACTGATGTTACAATATAAATCGTATTTTCACTACCACTAATCCTTCTTTCCTTCATCCCAACACATATATTTCTAGTTCCAATACTATGTCACTGCCTAAGTTGAGTTCATCTCACGATTGCTGATGCAAAAACAAAAATACAGAATAAACCAGCCATCTTACCTTTCTATTTAGAACCTATTGTCTTAAAATTCAGGGTTTCTGAATACACATACATATGTATGCATTTTTATGGATCTGTGACCAGTAATTTGAAAACGACCTAATAAGGGAACAAAATCCCATAATGGACCTAAATTTTCAATATTAGAGATTATACATTAGTACTTTATTATTATACCTTTTAGTACTTTATAGACTACTAGCTATACCCAGTGTGCTTTGCTACCTTAAAAGCAATATGTATAAATAAAAAAACCCACTTAACGATTTTGAAGATTCTAACTACAATAGTTTTCCAGATTTATAATATGTTACATATGAGAGATGTCAAGCACATTATTGCAAGTTCGCCTGTATCTATCGCCAATTTCTATCTATCTATGAAAACTTTGAAGAATATAAGAGTTTCCAAGATACACGAAATTTTGTAATTAACTCATATATGTGGTGCCAAGCCACCCATTGAAAGTCCGCCCGTTATTCTCTAAATGTTTCCATGAATGTCAAAATTCTTCATGTAAAATTTTAAGATTCTAGCTCTAATAGTTTCTAAGTGGGGGCTTCAAGCTCCCTAGATGAAAGCCCACACTTTTTCCCCAAAACGTTCAGATGAATATTAAAATAATTTGTGCAAAATTTTAAGAATCAAGTTCTATTAATTTCCTAGATAAACGAAATTTTATATTTAATTCATATGGGAGGTGCAAAGTTCCCCTTTGAAAGTCCGCCCGTTATACTCTAAATGTTCAGATGAATGTCAAAAGTCTTCAAGTAAAATTTGAAGATTCTAGCTCTAATAGTTTCTCAGATATACGAATTTTTCTATTTAATTCATATGGGGTCTTCAAGCCCCCTAGATGAAAGTCCGCTTTTTTCCTCCAAAATGTTCAGATGAATATTTAAGTTCTTCGTGCAAAATTTGAAGAATTTAGTTCCATTAGTTTCCCAGATAAACGAATTTTTGTATTTAATTAATATGGGAGGTACCGCTCCCCTCATGGGTAGTCCGCCAATTTATTACCCAAAATGTTTAAATGGATGTTAAAGTTATTCGTACAAAATTTTAAGATTCTAACTGTAATAGTTTACAAGATAAACGAATTTTCGTATTTGATATATATGAAAAGTGCCACGCCCTCTAATGCTAGTCCGCCTACTTTTTGTCCTAAATAATCATATTGACACTAAAGTGGCTCCGACAAAATTTGAGGACTCTAACTATTATATTATCTCAAATATACGCATTTCATATTTTCAAATAAAAAGTAGTACCTATTCCAGACATGCAGACATACACTATGAAAATTTGAAGAAAATCGGTTCAGCCGTTCAGTAGTCTATACCGTTCAAACATAGAAACAAACACACATTCATTTTTATATATATAGATAAAAGGAAATAGAAAGCAAAGTTTGTAAAAAATTGTGAAACCAATTTGACTGATTTTAATGTATCTTTAGCTGCTGAAACCGATCTGATATCGGGTTTTCTCTATCACACACAATTTTCTTACAAAATGACATTCAAATATTATGAACATTTTATATAAGTATAAAAATATATTTACGTTTAAGGGTTAATTTCGATTTTTTCTATATCATAATAAATACGGGTCTAAATTATATATTTTTTCTACGTTTTATTTAAAAAGGCTGAAAACAAAGTAATATTTCACTATGATTTCTACAATATTTTCCAATATTGCATAGCTTGATTTTGACCTTCACAGTTTAACCTATAAACTATTCGAATTTTATTCGATTTTACAAAAACTTCAAATATATGTCTCCTATCATTTGAAATTGTATATTCTGCAAAAAAAAATATATAAAATCCATAAAGAATTTCTCCGAAATTATCAAAAACTAAAATTCCAAGTACCGCTAATATGTGAGAGATATCGACCTAATATCTTTACAATTTGTGAAAGATATCAACCTAACTATTTTATTTCCTTCTTTATTGTCCATATGACACATGGAGATTTTCTCAAAAATTAAAAATTTGCCTAACAAAATTGTTAAAAATTGGAAATTGGTACTAACCTTGACCCTATTATGATTAATTCAGAATTTGAAAGGTCAAATATAGACTTCACTTCAAAAACAATTGTTTCAATTAAAATTTTTGCACAAATTTGCTATTTTCCCACACAAACAAAGTATTAAATTGAAAAACAAAGTAAACTAAATAACTTTAAATAATTTCTTGTTAAAAAAGAAGCAAAACAAGTTTTCTAGAAAATTTATTAAAAATAAATTTAGGATGAATTTTTCGCAAACTCATGAACAAAGTTTATATTTTTCTTGGTAAAACCAATAAAACAACATGAAAACTCAAATTGGAGACAATTTAAAAAGAAAATACAAAAAAAAAAAAAACACCAACGACAATTTAAAACAAGTTAAAAACAAATAAAAAAATAAATAACTTTATTTTTTGTTAATAAAATAACAACAAAAGCAAAAGTTTTGTGGTATTTAAAATGATTTTCATCATTCTCTGGAATATTACGTGTAAGACAATAAATTTTTATTGGGACAAAAGAGAACATTTAAGAAATTATAGTTTAGCTTAACCGATTCTCTGCACTAGGGGCATATTTCAATAGTTTTCAACCATGCTGCAAACTTTCACACAAATGCGGTATACCCTACCCCCCAATAGTAGTGTAGATTATAAAACAACACGGACGATTAAAATGAATATGTTGCGTTATTAAATGACATTCTCTAGAGTATTTCTGTTCGCATAAGTTTACCAGGAAAACCTTCAAAAACAACAACAACATAAAACTTCCCAGAACAATATTGAATATTTTACTCACATTTCTTCTAAAGCACTAAACACATCCGTTTAGCTACTAGTAAAATATCATTTATTGTATTATTCGCTAGTGTGTGTTTTTTTTTTCGACGTTTTTCTTTTAAGATACTTTAATTCTCTCAACAATTTCAAAAGCAATCAATCTTGTTACCATAATCATGGTGGCGCCACAAAGTCTGCGTATATGCCACAAAAGTAAGAATCGTACAAAATTGAAAATGAAAAAAAAAAACATATAGACTCGTACAGAGAGAAAGAACACCACTCAATGTGGCAATGTTTCAGAGCCACTTAAGTAGAATTTTTTAGTGCATTTCGGTATTTGGCTTATTGCGTACCATATACACACACTTAGTTATCTATATACATCTACTTGTTCAAAAAAATACCTAAAGTTGTCTGTCAATTTATCTTATGTAGTTTTTTTTCTATATTTTCTTCAGTTTTAGTTATTACTGTTTTGTTGGCTTCCTACTTGACTTGGTCAATGAGGTGTCAGAAAGGCGTAACTGTAACCTTTGCGGTATTATGAAGATATTGCGAAAGGAAATAAAG